GGCATCCATTTGGTCCTCGGACCTTTGACAGCCACTGAGTGAGGTCACCTCTCCTGACTTCTCATGACCAGAATAGCAGCCCTCTAGTGGGCCTGGTTGCAGGATCTCACAGGCCTGATCAGAGCCGAGCAAGAAGGAGCTCCAGGCTCCTAGGAGGCCACTACACAGGAGGGCTATCTCCTCCCTGCACGGACTCTACTTTCTCATTTTCTGATACCTCTTTCTCCTCACCCAGGTCTCAATATATAGATAGCCCAGCAGGCCTGGAGCTCAGGGTCCTCCAGCCTCTGCCTCCAAGTGGTGTGATCACAGGTGTGTGCCACAGTCCATCGATCTTCTGTACTTGGCTGATCTGGCATTTGGAGACCAGTCCGTGTTCTCTGTCTTCTACCACCCCGTGGTCAATCCAGGGACCACGCTTGAATCCCAGAGCCCACCGAAATCATCCCAACACCCCATCCCCAAACCTCCATGGTGTCCCTGTCTTGCCTCCCCCTTCCTTCAAGGCTGGATCTGGCTCAGTCTGTCGAGGTCTAGGGCGGTCTGCGGCTTTTCCTGAGGCCCTGATGCAGGGAGAAGGAACTTAGCTCCTTGTCTAAGACCAGGAATATGCTTGGTAAGGCCAGTAGTGGCCTTGGGGCCTGGGGGAGCTGTGGCTTTGAATCCTGAGCACCCAACTCTTCTCACCCTAAGGTGCTATGGTTATCAGTCCCGAGGCTGCTGTGTGTTTGGTCTCTACGCCCTTGCGGTATCCTATGCTCTCTTTGCGCAACACTGTTTGATTAGCTTCTTGCTGACTTTGTCCCTTTGTATAATCGCTTTTGCTGACACTGTCCCATTTCTTTCAGGAAAACTGTACATAAGATGCTGCATTTCTTAATAAACTTGCTTGCATGAGCCATCCACTTATGCAAGACCTCCTGACCCAAAACTTTCCAGTCTTCTCCATCTTCTCACCCCCTGGTCATCTCTCTCTCTCTTTCTCTCTCTCTCTGAGACCTTTCACTGAGGAATGACCTACTGGTCCAGATCACAGCTCTCTTCTCCTCTCCTCAGCTTCAGATCCTTGTGGACCTGTCTAGGCAATGTTCCTCCTGTATCTAGAAACTTGTCTCTTCATACAATCATTTCTTTTGCTATCTTACTATACCTGACTAAAGTTAATCCTGGCTATATTTTTAGCACATCCCCTGAAGCAGAGTCCTTCAGAGAGGGAAGGGAGAAGATGGAGTGGCCTGGTGCACCCAGAGACCATGTCTATTGCCATGCTGTCAAAGGAATCTCCAACAGGTAGGGCTTAGGAGAGGCCCAGGGCTTCTGGCCTGGCGGAAAAGAGGAAGCTAACTATTTTAAAGGTTTAGGTATAGTTAAGGAGGAACAGAGTATATTGAAGAGTATCCCCCACAGAGATATGTATAGATCCTGACCCCAGATCCTATGATTGTGGTCTTTAAAAAGGGGTAATCAAGAGATGAGGGACAGAGAGGTGACTCAGTGGGTAATGGCTCTTGCCGACAAGTCTGGTGCCTGAGTTCCATCCCCAGGACCCACAAGGTGGAAGGAGAGAACTGATTCATCCTGCTTGTCCTTTGATGTCCACATATGCATGCACACACACACACACACACACACACACACACACTCACAAATGTAATAAAAAAAAAATCTCCAACCCAAGTGTTGAAGTGTTATTTTGTTGCAGTAGCCATAGGAAACCAGCGGCCAGCAGAGGAACCCTGAAGGAGGAGATACCCAGGCACGCAGGCAGCCTTTCTGTCCTGCTGATGGTGTGCTTCCCCAACAGCAGAGGCTTTCCAGTAACTGCTGGCTGATATGCAGCTTCTGTTCGATCGCTAACTCCAGCTTCGCCACCCTCTGTTACTGTCACAAAATGCCCCAAGCTAGTCCTTTACTAGAGGAATGGTTTGTTTGGTTTCTGGTTCTGGACCAAGGGTCCCCTGGCTGCGTCACAGCGTGATGAAGCAGACAAGAAGCATATATGGCAGCTTCATTTGATGGCAACTCTCCCAGCACCAGGGTAGCTGACACAAAAGGATCACAATTTGTGACCAGCCTGTGCCAGGATGTACCTAGACCCTCTGACCAAAACACTACAAGAAATGACCATTGCAGTAGCCCCAGTATTCTGCAGACTAACTCTGTGAAGCCATCTGTGATGGTCAGTTAGTTCTCTCAACCTGACACAAGCAAGCATCATCTGGGAAGAGTCTCCACGAGGGATGATCTAGTCCATGTTAGTCTGTGGCAACATCTGTGGGGGAATGTCTTGATTACATTAACTGCTGTGAGAAAATCCAGCCCCAGAGTGGGAGGCACGGCTCCCTGGGTTTGGAAAAGGGGGAAGGTAGCTGGGCAAGCTACACCATTCCCTGTCTGCTTGGTGGATGTGACTAGCTGCTTCAGATTCCTGTCACCTCAACGTGACATGGCACCCAGCCCCAGCACCTGACCCTTCCAGAATCCACACACTAGAACCATCTAGAAAGCGGAACAAAGCCCAGGTCTTAAAAAAGAAACTTTTTAAATGAACTTGCCAGACACGATGAGATGCACACGGGAGGCAGAGGCAGGGGAATGAAAGCAAGTTCAAGGCTAGCCTGGTCTACATATGGAGTTCCAGGCCACACAGAGATATAGATCCTGTGTCCAAAAAAAAAGAAAAAAAAAGTAGCTCTCAGGACCCCACTTTCTTGGCTTAAAAACAGAAACACACTGCCTTACACTGGTTTCCATCAGGGTGTCCTGTTTCAGCCTCCGGAGTTCCCCCTGGAAATCACTTTGAGCTGAGCACTGCACTTCTGACACCCAGGGCTTAGCTTCCCTGTGGCGATGGCTCATTGTGTAGTTCAGCAAACAGGCCTTGGAAGTTGTGTTCTAAGGGACCAGGCCCCGTGGCTTTCTCTCTGGAACATGAATTGTCTAGTCTCAGGTCTCACAGCTGTTTTCCAAACTGGTATTTACAAAGCACCTAGTGACTGACAAGGCCTGTGCATGTATGTAGCCGTCCTCCAGGTCAGGGGTGGTGGCCCACAGGACTAGGCCAACCGTGACACTGGCATTGAATTAGACACTGTGGTGGCAGAGGTTGTGGTACCTCCTCCTGTGTCATGGCCAAGGGACAAGTCAACCTGAGGAGACCCACACAAGCACTGGATCCCAGAAGCTCCAGGGCCAGGTCTCACGGTCATGTGCTAGGAAACCAGTTCAAGCTAGGACTGGAGCCCAGCTGAGTCAGTTTGGAAATGCAAGCCATGACTTGAACTGGGCAGCCTTGCCGGAAGGCCTGGGACACAGAACTGAGCTCATGACGCGTAGGTCATGAAGTCAGCCTGAGAGGCACAGCATGGGTCAGGGAAGTGGCATCTGGACAGGCAGAAGGGACAAAGTCAGTACAGACACTGAAAATAACACAGCTGTGAACACCCTGTCTCACCTCTGAAGAGCGGTGTCGGAGGGTGGCCGTGAGGGAGGGTCTCAACCACCATGGGAGGGTCTCAACCACCATGGGAGGGACTCAACCACCATGGGAGGGTCTCAACCACCATGGGAAGGACTCAACCACCATGGGAGGGTCTCAACCACCATGGGAGGGTCTCAACCACCATGGGAGGGACTCAACCACCATGGGAGGGACTCAACCACCATGGGAGGGACTCAACCACCATGGGAGGGTCTCAACCACCATGGGAGGGTCTCAACCACCATGGGAGGGACTCAACCACCATGGGAGGGTCTCAACCACCATGGGAGGGTCTCAACCACCATGGGAGGGACTCAACCACCATGGGAGGGTCTCAACCACCATGGGAGGGTCTCAACCACCATGGGAGGGACTCAACAACCATGGGAGGGTCTCAACCACCATGGGAGGGACTCAACCACCATGGGAGGGACTCAACCACCATGGGAGGGTCTCAACCACCATGGGAGGGTCTGAAGAACAAACTCAGGAAGATGCTCGCCTTCTGATATTCTCTCAAATACTTGCCTTACATTTAATGTTAAATTGTTATTTGTTAGGTGGGGGATGGGAGGAGCCAAAGTTCAAGGTCATCCTTGGCTACAGAGTGAGCTTGCGGGAGTCCGAGATGCATTTGACCCTGACTCAAACACAGACAAATAAGCCCAGTCTTTGGCTTTGAGAAGATCTGCTGGTTGTACATAACAAGCAGGGAGGGATGGCTCTATCCTGTGAGAGCTTGATAAAAAAAAAATCATGTTAGGCTGGAGACATGGCTCAGAGGCCAAGAGCAACTGCTGCTCCTGCAGAGGACTGGGGTACAGTTCCCAGCACCACAGTGGGTAGGTCACAGTCACCCGTGACTCCAGCTCCAAGGGATCTGATGCCCTCTCCTGGCCTCAGAGAACACTCTCTCACACATGGACAGAGACACACATGCGCATTTTCAAGACAACCGTGTATCAACTGAGAAGACTTGTCTTTGACTGTGGGCTAGAATTCTTTGTGTGACCTTTGACAAGAGGCAGACTCAACACTTCCGGTGTTTGCCTTCTTGGTGGCAGGATGGGACCTGTTCTTTGTGCTTTAGCATTCTACCACCGAGTTACATCCCCAAACAAAACTGTTTCTCTCTTGTTTCTACCCCAGCCCCATTCCAACTCTGTTAGTTCTTGAGCCAGTTCTTCCTAAGTTATAGTTTTTAAAATGTGCACATTTCATCCATGCTAGAAAATGTTTCCAGCTGTGAATACACTTGTCACAGAAGGCCCACCTCCAGGGAAGCCTGGGCACTGGGGAGCCAAGTGTGTCTGTGACCCCTGTTCTAGGCAGCAGGGCTGGGTACTTACAAGCTCCCACCTCACTTCCTTCCCCACACTCTCCAGATAAGGTCACCAAGACGGATTATGGTGCCGCTCTGCGGTTGCCCCCCTTATGGCCCTTCCGAGACGCAGTTGCTAAGTGGGCCGTGAGCACCTGCCACACCACAGCTCCACTGACAAACACGCGTCACACGAAGTGGTTAATGACAAGCTGTATTTGGCGCCAAGGTTTTCAAAAGCACCACATTAAATGTGTTCCTCTCGGTATTAATGGTCTATTCTTCAATTCTTCAGAGCTTTCTTTTCAAGGCTTCCTATACTGACTTCCGTCCAACGTAGAAGTCCGAAAGTCCTATCATGCCATTCCTTTTAGATTCTCTGGATAGAAAACAGAAGGAGATGCAATTAGAAATGTAAATTTTTTTTTTTTTTTTTTTAGGATGTCACTTAACTGACAAGGTTATCTCAAACACTGGGCACGTGGGATGCCCCACCACAGACTCCTGCCAGGAAGCAACAGTTCTGAGCTCTATTTTCCTGTACAACAATGGCTGCTTATTTCCAGGTCAAACATCAGTGCTGGGGAGCCACTCTTACATCAGCAAGTGGGCAAAGGTTGCCCAGAACACGCCACACCACGGCTCTCATGACAGCCAGGGACCACTCTAACCTGCCCACGACCTCCACAGTGCTCTTTGTCACCCACCCCAGCCTAGCCCCCTCTCTTGCACATGGGCCAGAGGGAACCAAGACTGCAGAGCCCACATGGCTTGCTGTGCCTCAACAGCTAAGACAGACCACGTGCAGCATCACCGTCCACGGAGGTACAGATATCAAGGGCTATCAAACGCTGTCAGAACCAAGCAGACAGCAAATGAGTGGACGGATGGGTCGTGGGGCTGAGAAATAAATCTCTAGTAGGCAGACATACAAGCAACAGCGCCCTCTGTGGGAAAGAAGCCTAATTAACAAGTTGATGAGGGAGGAGGAGGAGAGGCAGGGCAGCCCAGAGAGCCAGGCCTCGGCTTCGGGTGCTCACATGCTATGCCGCCCGATATCGGTGCATTCTAAGCACACAAAGAGCGCTGGCTGGGAGATCCCAACAAACCCAGCCCATGCCTTGCTTGCCCCCCGGCCCCCGAACGGTTGCTTGGGCAGCTGGGTCCTTCAGGCTTCCCTGAACCGGTACAGTCAGGATTTTCCAGGGTGGGTGCGAATGAGAACCTAGAGAGCCGAGCTGAGCTCTCCCCGAGATGAGCTCTCCTTGGCATGCAGTGCCCATCTTCAGAACCTCTCCCTACTCATGCATTCCGCCCACCTCTCTGCCCTTGCCCTCCAGCCACACGTGGCAAGCCACAGACCATCCTTTTACCTCCCGGCCAGCACTGCAGTCTGGCTTCAGCCAGTACTCTCCTCAGCTGCCATGTTTGGCTTTGCTGTCAGGGCCCCTTCCCCACACATCCACACACTCTCACGGAGTCACTCCCAGGGATAACCCTGAGATACCAGCAAAGAACCTATCAGCTTCCCACAGCCTTCCAGACCAAGATGACAGTGCTCCCGCATCCATAGAGAACCTCCCAGATGTGGGCACCTCAGGCCACTTACTACAGAGAGAAGACACCAGCCCCAGGCAGCCGGGAGTGAAAAGTTAAAAGCCCCCGAGCACCTTGACATTCTCTCGATGCCAACAGCATGAAGATACACTGCGCAGGTGTCATGTGCCAGCTCCTCACTCAAGAGCTGTGTGAGTGACATCAATGACAGTCTGTGGGTAACTCGGCACCTGTGGGCTGCAGCCAGGCTGCCCACTGGTGGCAATTCATCTCTACGTTTCATGTGTTGGTGAGGTTAATTTTATCAATGTGACTTTTTAACAAGCTATCGTTTAAACTATCTGACAGTACGTGCTAGAATTAAGCGTTTCCTGTGGCAGGACATATTTTCTCCATCTAAAGTCTAGGAAGATGGACTCCCACTGTCTGACACTGAGAAGACAGGCTGAGGGGCTGCTGCTCTTCTGCTGATGGTCTCTGACAGGAGGCTCCCCTTCATCACTGCTGGAACCAAGGCAAGCACCTTTGCCTTCCGCCAGGGCCAGTTCTCAGCAAAGAGAGGTGGACAGAGGAGACTCTCCAACTCAGTCCACAGGAAACCCACAGAGAGCTATACTTACGACTTCTCTCTTAAAGTGGCAAGATAGGTCTCCGTCTCTGAGGCTGGGAGTTCTGGGTCCAGTTCAGACAAGTACTGGTAGATGTAAGCGTAAGTATCAAACGGGATCCGAGCAGGCCCACCCTCTGGGTCAGTAGTGAGGATCTCACAGACGTTCTTCATGGCGGTATTCAGTGTCTAGGCAGGGAACGGGACAAGGACGGGACACAGTCACTCTTGGAGTCTGAGATTTAAAGACGACACCAGTGACAGAAACGCAAGTGTGTGCTGTAGACATTCTTCAGAGTGTGTTCTCCATCTTAGTGAAGATCCAGGTGGATGCATAGCTTCCACAACATAAAGCGAGAAGGAAGGGTTGACCAGGACACAACTGACCAGACATGGTGAATTTATGGATTTTATACCCAAATGGGAATGACTGCCATAGACAAGAAAGTGCACTGGCTAGTTTTGTGTGTCAACTTGACACCAGCTAGAGTCATCAGAGAGGAAGGAGACTCAGTTGAGGAAATGCCTCCATGACATCCAGCTGTAAGCGATCAATGGGGGAGGGTCCAGAGTCCATGGTAGGTGGTGCCATCCCTGAGTTGGTAGCCCTGGGTTCTATAAGAAAGTAGACTGAGCCGGGCAGCGATGGCACATGCCTTTAATCCCAGCACTTGGGAGGCAGAGCCAGGTGGATCTCTGTGAGTTCGAGGCCAGCCTGGTCTACAGAGTAAGATCCAGGACAGGCACCAACGCTACACAGAGAAACCTTGTCTCAAAAAAACCAAAACAAACAAAAAACAAAACAAAAAGTAGACTGAGTAAGTCATGGGAAGCAAGCCAGTAAACAGCACCCCTCCATGGCCTCTGCATCAGCTCCTGTCTCCACGTTCCTGCCCTGTTTGAGTTCCTGTCCTGACAACCATCAATAATGAACAGCAATTATGGAAGTGTAAGCCAAATAAACCCTTTCCTCTCCAACTTGCTTTTTGGTCATGGTGTTTCCTCTCAGCAAGAACCCTAAGGCAATAAGCATATCATTTTTTACCATGAACCTCCTCCATGTGGTTCTGGGTTTCGAGTCCAGCACCATGTAACCATGAACTTTAGTGAAGGCTTCAGGTCTCTGTTCCTTCATAGAACCTCACTAAGTTGGGCTATAATGGCTCCCAAGAGAAGCTTAAGGGCACAGAGTGTATGCCGGGCAGAAGTCAGCAAATACAGAACTTAGAAGGGTCTCAGTGCCAGTTCTGCAGCACCCGAAGGGACACACATGAGCAGGCAGTAAGTCACAACTCCTGACTTCTTGTATGGCACTGGACCCCCAGCTGGGGGTACCATTTCGGGAGCTTGTGGGACCTTTAGGAGGTGGGACTGAGGTAGAGGAAGTGGGTTTCTGAGAGGGCTCAGTCTGAGGCTGACGTCTCAGCTCTCTGATCCTTAGACCCTGGAGCCAGCCACTGGAGCCACCGTGCCTCGCCTAGCACAGTGGAAGAGCATCTGGAGCCAGGTGCCAGCATCTGTCTTTGTTCCTGTTAGTGCTTCTTGACAGGCACTGGCATAGCAATAATCGCACCCAACACACCTACCAGCTCACTTCTTCATTTCTCCTTTTGGAATGTAGTGTTTAAAAAGCAGAAAATGAGATGTACTCCCTTGCAATCCCTGATGTGTTCTTAGTGCATGTCCAGGCCACAGAGGAGCCTGCACAGGCAGCTGTGGTACTATCCGTGTGCTAGTGACCATGTGGGGACTTGGGTACCTCCCTGCAAGCACATCCCACACTGAGACAGAGCTCTCTCTCCACACACTGTGGGGTGGGTGAGACAGGGCCGAGCAGACCCCTGTACAGGGATGATGGAAAAAAAGGCTCCACACACCCAGCTGCACTTGACCCAAGTTACACTCTAGAGCTTCTATGGCATCTATCACCTAAGGGAATTAAAGGCAAGCCACAAAAAATGACCTAGGTTAGGGGGCAGGAAGGAACCCTCTGTGACCAGTAGCTTTTTGATGTAAATTTATTTCCTAGCGACAAAGCAGCATAGAAGAAAACAGGAACTTGATTGTTTTGACATAGTCATGGTAGAATCATGGTAGAAGATGAAAGCTTCATTCTTTACAAAATAGTGCCACCTAGTGTCACTCACGTATATACATCTCAGATTTACTTTCATGACTGGAGAGGTGGGACAGAATAATCCCTAAATCATGTATTATCCTGTTCTTTCTCATTGTTAATATTAAACTTTCATGCCTATTTTTAGAGGCATAAGCCATCAACATTAACCTCAAATGTTAGATACGAATTCCATGCTATGAAAATGTTAATTTCAGAGCCCCTGATGAGCACAGTGCCGCAGTTTCTCTAATAACTAATCCCATTTGACTTTGTCTTTCCAGAGAATACCCCACTGGGCAGCACAGCCCTGCGAGGACACCTGCTTTGTCATTGTCCATGCCTCAGCACAATGATGTCAAGAGCTGACCAGAAACCACATACCCAACCATTGCTGGACCTGAGGCCACCAGCTTGCTACCTGCCTTCTCAAGGGACAGAGCTTCCTCCTGGAGCCCGAGCTGCAGCATATCCATGCACCTGGCCAACCATGGACTACAGTAGACAAAGGCACACAGCCACGCTACTGGGAACGAAGGGAAGTTCCAGGAGACACCTGTATACTATCCCATCAGAAACGGAAAACAAGAACGGCTTTTATTTGAAGTAAAACTGACTAAGAAGGGGGCTGGAGAGATGGCTCAGAGGTTAAGAGCACTGACTGCTCTTCCAGAGGTCCTGAGTTCAATTCCCAGCACCCACATGGTGGCTCACAACCATCTGTAATGAGATCTGGCTCCCTCTTCTGGCCTGTAAGGATACACGCAGACAGAACACTGTATACATAATGAATAAATAAATCTTAAAAAAAAAAAAAAAGCTGTCTGTAGCCGGGCGGTGGTGGCGCAAGCCGGGCGGTGGTGGCGCACGCCTTAGCCGGGCGGTGGTGGCGCACGCCTTTAATCCCAGCACTCGGGAGGCAGAGGCAGGCGGATCTCTGTGAGTTCGAGGCCAGCCTGGTCTCCAAAGCGAGTTCCAGGAAAGGCGCAAAGCTACACAGAGAAACCCTGTCTCAAAAAACCAAAAAAAAAAAAAAACTGACTAAGAAATGTGCACATGGACCAAAGCTGGGGGAAGGAGGAGTCAGAGGCTCAGTGGTTAAGAGCATGTACTGCCCTTCCAGAGGACCTGAGCTCAGTTCCCAGCACCCATGTCAGGAGCTAACAAGGGATCCAGCAGCCTATTCTGGCCTCCACAGGCATTCATTCATGTTTACAATCCCCAACCCCCCACATACAAATTTAAAAACTGATAAAGAATTAAATAAAACCCTTTTTTAGAGGATGAGTGGGACATTAAGCAAGGATTATGAATTATGTACAGTTATATACTCAGTGTAAAGACTGAAGGAGCAAAAGAAAGTGCTCATCTGGACAGCAGAAGGCTGCTTCTCCTGAAGCTCCTTTCTTAACAAACACCAAGGCTCCCTTCACTTAACCACAGGCTCATTACACTCTCCCAAGGAAGCTCCAACCACTCCCTCCCACTCCAGCCCCCACCCACCTCATGCCTAAGTCCCCAGGCTCCTCAATTGAGGACCATCCAATCAATCATCCTGCTGTCTTATTTCTAAATTATTGGAGTTATATTGTAAGGGCAGGAAAGTTACACTGTATCTATTACTTATTAATACTGCATAGTAAGTCAAACGCAACGGAATTTTATGTCTCTTCCCACAGAAGAAGAAAATGTTACCAGTTTTCAAAATTATATTGTTCAAATAAAAGAACTCAATTGGTACATCCCCTTTGAAAACCTAAACATATTCCAAGAGTATCCATGTGTTTGCTCTGCTCTTAACATCTTTTAAATTGGGGTCTTCATCACATAACTAGTCTGGTCTCCAGAAAAAAATAACTCCTTTCCAAGAGCAAGTTAATAAAGTAAAGTGTTTTCTGTAGTTACTTAAACCCAAATTATTTTTAAGTCAGGTACATAATTACACAGATTATGCTATTGGTAGATACATACCCCACCCAGGGAGCTACATCCAAGAGCTAAAAATTTTATCCACTCCACTTTTTCTTCACATGGATCCAGTTCCAGGATAGCTCTGAATTTTTCTACTGGCAGACACAAGTTTTTCCACTTCTTCTCAAGGTCTGGTAATTCCACATATTGTTTGTGGTTACACTGTTTAGAAAACACAATATGACATGCTAAGTCTAAGTAGAAAAAGCATACACACAGACGTATCCATACACATATCCAACACACATTCACAGAATGAAAAGTAATATCTATCTATACATGAAAAGCTAGCTCTTGGGTTCTTTCCAAGAATCAATCATCTTCAAATGTGGTAGGGCAGGCCTGGGGACAAAGGGGAAGCTGTCCTAATGTTTTGAGGGGCACAGAATGGCAACAGAAGCACAGACAGTTTAGAGGTTCACCCACCTGCTTGTGCAGGACCTTTAGGAGTCCCTGGGTCAGGCCTGTGTCGGTCTTCTGAGTGGCCACAGGCATTTCAATTCTGTCCTTTATAGGAAGTGGGTCTCCTCTGGACAGGGCTGAAAAATACCTGGAATGAGAGACATCACTGAAGAGCATCCACACACAGGCAGCGCCCAAGGCACGCAGGGTCTGACAGCCCAGCAAATGTCGGGGGAGCGAGCTCCCAAGGCCAGCTGCAGACACCGAAGCCCTGGTCCCTCGGCTGAGCAATCCCCTGGACCTTCACTGTGCACTCTGGTTTCTCAGACATGATGACTGGTGTCTGAGGCTCCTGGAGGCACCAAGTGACCGAGAACTGAGGTGGGGGGGCGTGGGGGGGGGGGGACAGACGCACTGAACTGTGCTCATCTCATTGTTGGTCTCATTGACCCCCTTCCTCCAAGAGCTTTGAAGACGTGGACAAAGGGACCAGAATCCAATGTTGTGCTACTTCACTTTTTTAAAAAAGATCTTTATTTTTATTAAATATAGTGTCTGCATGTGGGTAAGTGAATGTGAGTGCAGATGTCCTTGGCAGAGGTGCCAGATGCCCTGGAGCTGTGTGACAGGGTGCTAGGGGTTTAACTCAGGTCCTTTAGAAAAGCAAGCAAATACTCTTTTTTTTTGGGGGGGGGTGCGTTTCGAGACAGCGTTTCTCTGTCTAACAGTCCTGGCTGTCCTGGAACTCACTTTGTAGGCCAGGCTGGCTTCAAACTCACTGAGATCCACCTGCCTCTGCCTCCCAAGTGCTGGCGCAAGCAAATACTCTTCAGGTTGACTCCTCCCCAGGCCCCACGCCTAAGGCTGTTCATTTTCTTTGACAGCTGCTTTCTGAGGTATTTGACATTAAACACCTAGGCATACAAAGGTCACCTACTTTCCATTTTTCCCCATGTTGCCAGGTACTTCTCTCAATTGTCCCTTCAAGGACACTGAAAATGCTTAGGCTAGAGGCAAACTCAGGAATGGCAAACTCAAGAGTGGACTCATGTCAGGTTTGGCCAGAAGAGGGAGGTGTGCCAGACAGGGTCTTGGGCTATGGTTGGTTGTTAACCAAAGAACTTGTAGCCAGGGAAAAAAACATGAAATTAAGCACCAGGGCAACAGGTATGTGTAGTGGGTAGCTGTTCCAGCTTTGACCTGGAAGTACTACCCCCATTGAGGCTTCTGATAACTGCCATGTCTACCTATGGCCTGCCCCTGAGGCGGGGCTACACCGGAGCCCTTAAGACCCGATAGTGCCGCTCTCTTGCTTCATGGATCCTGGATGCTGGATGTAGACCGAGCAGAGTTCTCCAGAGAACACCACTGGACTGCACTTCACCTCTCCTGTAACCAACCCCTTTACTGGCTGTAAGTTACCCCCAAATAAACCTCCCTTTTAACTACGTGATGTTGCCTTAATACATCCTCCAATAGGTATGTATGAGTCACCAGAAACCGTCTAAATCTGTAACATAGGTGGATGTGGACAGTGGAGACAGTAGACCAAATTCAACTCTCTCTCTTCTGGCCCCTTAGGGTCAACTCTGCCTATGCGGCTAAGACTTGTGTTCCTCTGAGGAGTGTGAGGACAGGGATGAGAGAAGTGCAGAATGTAGACCTCAATGGCTAAAGGCTAAATAAAGGGGGGGGGGGGGCATTTGCAATACTGTGGCTCAGCAGGATTCACACCTGTTTCATAGTTGTTCCTTAGCACCAATCAAAGGAATCGTGAAGTCCTTGAGAAAGCCCTTCAAAGTAACTGTGAAGTGTTCTCAAATGGGCCAGGGTGGGGGCAGGGTCTTGGAGTGCTATAAAGAAACTTTTATAAAACCCTTGTCTTTCCTAAGGCTTGAACAATGGTTAGAGCCAGGGACCATGATATTGTATGGGACGTTGAGAGAATGGGCAGGTGCTGGGTTCACAGGTGACCCTGATGGAGTTAAATATGTCCAGGCCCCAGCCCTTGGAACCTGTACATGGTACTCCACAAGTCTTTGAACAATGAAGGACTTTAGATGGGGAAATTGTCCAGAATAAACTGGATGCCTCCCAAAGGGATCCTCGGGAGAGGAAGGCAGAGAGAGGACCCATGGACATAGAAGGGCCATTAGAACACAGTTCTGATACGGAAGCAGGCAGCCTCCCCAAAGCCATCCCAATCACCTGTTGCCTGCTTCAACTGATGAGGGGCTCTTCACCTCTGTTGTTTTAAAGCAAGTCAAGTTGTCAAAACAGCTAAAAGAAACGAATCCGATATGCCGGGTAGCGGTGGCACACGCCTTTAATCCCAGCACTCGGGGGAGGAGTCGGGGGTGGGAGTGGGGGGGGAGGGGGCAGGACAGGCGGATTTCTGTGACTTCGAGGCCAGCCTGGTCTACAGAGCGAGATCCAGGACAGAAAACTACGCAGAGAAACCTTGTCTTAAAAAGGACTACCAAGTGAGTTCCAGGAAAGGCGCAAAGCTACACAGAGAAACCCTGTCTTAAAAAAAATTAAAAAAAAAATAAAAAAAAGAAAGAAACGAATCCACTCTTAGCTATATGGTTCAGAGACAGCAACATTTAGCTAAAAATACTTATTCTCGTGATGTTTAAATGTAGCAAAGGGCTGTCTTGTAAAACCGAAAGAATGAGTAGTAAGATTATAATGATCTGGTCCCGGAGACGGTTCGTGGTTTTTTTGTTTTGTTTTGCTAGCTGTGAGCTGTGCTGTCCAATTTTCGTGGATGACCGCCTAGCATAAGCACATTGTTCTAGGCGGTTTCATTTATAAACGTCCCTCTAACTGATTTTTTTTTAAACTCAGTGGGGCCCAGCGGCTGGTCTGTCTACACCCACAACTGAGGCGTCTGGACTCGGTAACTGGGCGAGGTTCCGGGCGGCGCTTACCCCGCCGACCACTGCAGCACGTCCACCGGCTGCGTGCGGATGGCAGCCTTGGTGAACTGCTTCAGAATGTCGGGCAGCTCCGGGGGGATGTGGATCTGCTGCGCGCAGAACATGGTGTCGGGCAGCGGCATCGTTCTGGGCAGACCGCGGCGGCCAGGGACGATCCGGTGTGCTGCGGGGAGGAGAGGCAGGGGTCAGCGCAGCGGCCGGTCTCCGCTTCTCTACCGGCTCCTCCGCCCGCTCCAGGGGAACTGAGGCTCAACCGCCCAACGCCCAGGAGCGCGCGATTGTGGCGTGCGGTAGGTATCCAGGCAACCGAGCTGCGCAGGCGCATGGCCTTGGCGAGCGAAGTGTGGGGGGGGGGGATGTTGGGCCTAGTCAAAGTATGGGGTGTGTTACCCACCCCGCCCCCCTCCCTGCAGAGGGGAGAGCGCTGTTTTCCTAAAACACAGAGGTTGAGCCAGTCTGGACCCCAGGAGGTCGCCAGCTGTCACCTACTGATGAGACCAGGGCCTTTGCTTGGCGCCTCAAGCTGTGGACTAGGCTCTATTTGGTCCAAACACACACCCCGTCCCCCTTATGAATACACGTTTCCAAACCAAAGCAGCTTTGGCAAAAAACCATTTAAGTTGATAGAATGGTTAACAACTCTCAGACAGTGTAGACCGAAGTGCTCACGTATCTGGGGACTACAGAATTTTCTGATGCCTTAGCTATATTGCTCATATAGCTATTAATATAAATTATTTATCCTATGCAAGAATTTAAGCTGTTGTTTAAAGAGTAAATAGAAATGCCCATTATTTAGTTAAGTAGGTTAACTCTCATTAACACCTAAATCATGGTCTCCATTCAAAGAACGCAACACACTTTAGGTAAAATCCGACATAGTTCAAGCTGGATGAGGGGACTGGCACATAGCAGTTTCCGTAACCCAGGCTGGGGCAAGGCTGGGGTTCATTTGGGCTCAGAGTTGGGAGAGCAGCCTGGGCAACATTTAGTGTTTCAAGAAGTAACCAGGTCTGTCCCCACCCCACCCCACTACCACAAAAAATTAGGCACATGACCAGTAAAGCTGGAGATACTGTAGAACAATTGGGGTACCAAGGCACTTATTTTTATTCTTAGATAAGTCTCTTGGAGGTTTTAATTTTGGTAATGTTTTTTCCTTAATTATAGCTAAAAAAAAAAAAATGTGTGCCTACTATTGACCTTCCAAAAAAAAAAAAAATGTTTTCCTCCAGAAGTCACTGTTTTGGACTTTACTTAGGACTGAATCGTTTTGCCTTTAATTAATATTTATCTATGGTATTAATCCCTTTGCTTTTCATTCTGTAACCAATATCCAATTACTTCAGTTTTTCAGCAGTGAAGAACCCACTGTCTACCTACTGGAGGGTCTGCTTTACCCGACCCACAGACAGTTGAAAGGAACTGGCCTCCTAAGCAAAGAATAAGAGTGTGGTTTCTGAGCAAGAAGCTCCTGCTCCAAGGGTGTCCTAAACAACAAATGAATGGTGAGCAGGAACTTAGGCTCTGTTATATAGGTAAAGGAAGAAAAAAAATCTTAAATGGCTAAACAATGTAAACGATGCAAAGGTGCCTTGGTGACTGTGTACCTGTGGGTTTAGAGGAGGTGAGCACCAAGTAGCAGCAGGCAGCAGAAGGCGGATGGAGGAACTAGGGCCTGCATACGTGAGGAACTAGATACCACGGAGGAAGCAGCTAGGTCCTGTGTGCTGGCCCAGGTGTCTGACTTGTCCCTCCCATCTTGGGGTCACTGTGGTCCTGAAGGCAGCCATTTTCCCTGAGAGACTAATTCCTCAGTCCCTTGACACACTGAGTCTCCTAATCACTGTTTGCAATGAGTGGATAAGGAGAATTAACGGTCAATTTTTTTGAGTATCGATTTCCTTTTATGGAGACTTACAACTTCACAGATTAAAGATGTGTGATTCAGAGAGCGTTTTCTCACCACTCCAACTTTAAGTAACAATGTATTTAATTAGGTGGAGATAAGAAAAATGTTGAATGCTTTTGAGAAAAAAATTGAACTTAGAAAAATTAGAAACGGCCCCTAAAATCAAGATGTCTTCACTCTAAAGGAGAAAAGCTTTCCTTCTCTGGCATTTGGACAATGACATAAAATGGTTTCTGACATGCACTTAGCACAGTCTCCATCACAAAGAGAAGGCTCATAGCATGAAGATGTAGGAAGGGGGCAGCTTCAGCCTGTGGTACAAGCAAAGAGGCTTCACGCAATCCAGTAGTGCGCTCCCCACTTAGGTTCAAAGTAAAAACACACAACCAAAAAGAAAACGAGGCTACAACTAACATTCACTTTATTCAATTCTGTTCTCTTAACTCAGAAGGCAACAAATGACCACATAAAAAAGGGAGCAATTTTGAATATATACACATGGAACTGGTCTGGGTACCGGTGTTCACGGTGAGAGAAAACTGACGTCCCACATCACTAAGTGTTCTATTTCACTCCTACAACAGACGCGCCGAGGCCTTAGCCGTTCACTTCCATCTAAGGTACAACAGGACTGTCATGATTACAAAATGAGGCACTCATACAGACAGGAATGGAAACACACATAACCATGGATACTGTCTACCTTTATACTAATGCCAAACCTACTGTTGGAGAGTATTTGAAAAAAGCCCTTACTCATGACAGCTGTTTAAAGATTTGACACAGCAGCGATACGCTGAAAACAGAACATCTGATTGGCAGGGCAAATTAAGTGTGTGGATACAGGGCAGCTTAAGCAAAGAACTTAGAGACCCTTCACAAAAAAGGTCTTTAGTAACACTTCAGTGGTACTCTGCTTCGTCTTTTCCCTTGATAATGACTGAACAGTTAAGAGTCTAGGCTTGTTTTAAACAAGAACTTTAAATGTCACAATGTAAAAGCGAGGCATCCCAGACTAGCCTGATACCCTCCATCCCGGAGAGGAAAGGTGCGAGCTACTTCGCAGCACCGTGCTGACAAGTGCCAGAGTTCCTGCTTAAGGGCACCAGCTCCTGTGTCTGTAAACACAACAGTGTAGAAACATCCAAATGCATCTTCTGTGTTTGTCTTAAAAATTCATCTGTTCAACCTAAACTTAAGAACATACTTTAATGGCGCATCTGTGCAACACAGACAACATACTAATAGATAAATTCATCGGTGGAAAGTTACTGTTACTTGTGTGAGGGGAAGGACGGTCTAAGACTTCACAGTATTAAACCAAATGTTGAAATAAAAATCACTTGTTCACATCTGCAATAGAGATGTCCTATCTCCTCCTTTCCCCCAGAGCATGGGAGTGGGGGGGTGGGGGTGGGGGTGGGGCACGACTATAAACACAGAACTTTAAGGCTAGCTACACACAAATTTTATACTGGCATTTTCTTCAGCTTTCATCTAAACTATTAGTACTTTGTAGTTTAAAAATCAATCCATAATTTGTTAATAGTGAACAACTATACATTTCAAACTGACCATCTGATCACTGGTCATGTAAAACTAATCCCAAATGGTGATTTGTCTTCAAATTACAAATAATAAAGCACAAAGGTCTTTCCTAGTAAACTTCCTTGAAGACTGGATTAGCCCAATTCAAAATGAAGCAGAAGTCTTTAAATTCCCTGTAAAAACAGGCAGCAAATAGGAACACAGTTTCTGAACTGAGCGTTTTAAATGTTTATGACATTGGTGAATAAAACCTGTATGCCACCCCAGCAAATATTATGCACAATAAACCGTTACGAGGACAATCTAACTAAAGGCCCCAGGACAAAACAGCTGAAAAACCCTGGAGGAATTCCACAGTAAGAGAGCACAGAGTCTCCTGCCAGCAAAATGGGGGCAAATTTTGGTAACCTGTACCGTTTGTGTTTGTTTTTCAACAAAACAAGGTTCATTTAAAATTTCGGAGGATTACTAATTTTAAACTTTTTGTGGTAGATCTATAAATTCTTTAAAATTAAAAATGGATCGTAAACAATGTTATATGCCCAATTCACTGACATCTTTCTCCCCAAAAGATTGGTTTTTTTATAGACATATCCAGAGCAGGTGGCACGGCATCTTAAAATGCTAAGTCTTTACAGCAGGACTAAGTCTGTGAGTGAAGGGGGGTGCTGGAAGGACCTTACTTTACACACAGGAGAAAGAACTGTTACAAAGTGACAAACAGTGTTAACACTGGATCCCATGGCAAGCACTGTTTCTGTTTCAAATATACTGCAGTTTTAAAACAAAATATTTGCTTATCACTTAGTGAATAAAAAAACAATCAACAAAAGCAGAACACATCGCTCTGAATATTGATAGCTTATGTTTGGCTTTTGTACTTCAAAAGAGGGGGGAAAAACCAAACCTTAGACCTTCCCACCTATGGGTTTTAATACTCCGTGGAATTCTTTTACAGTCTATGACAGCTTCTAACACTACCCTTACAATACACCTTCACCATTAAACACTGGGATGATGGACCAACCATCCTAGTCTTTTAAAGTTCACGGCTTGAGTATTCAGTTCTCCATGATCTCACAGCACTTCTCCAATGCAACTCCTTCCTATGTAAAGACCAGCGCAGGCTGCTTCCTTCCTACAAACAAAACTTAGTTTTATTTGCAGTTCTCCATAAACAAACAGCTCTGGAAACTGAGATTTCCTGGCGTTTTCACTGAGTCTCAGCTGTAGCACACTGACAGCAGTGTACACACACTGCTGTCAGGTGTTCCAAGCCCCACACCACGGCCTAGCGTTAGCCTGCCAGCTGTCACAATGCGGGCTGTTGATGTTATCCCCTAAGATTCCTCACCTGGCATGACACTTTTGGCCACTGCTGACAGAAAGAAAGAGCTGCATGGAAGGGGAGGAGACTAATGAAAATCTTCATTGGTAGTTTATCTAAGTATAGACATGCCCCTAACAAGCACAAAACCCCAACTCCCAATGCTGATCACTAGGAATATTAAATTATCAAAATTAAAAATAATTTCCTCATCTAGCACAACATACTATACAATATTACAAACACAGACACATGAAAACAATCGGGCAGTAGAAAATGTACAACAGCTTTGGTGTCACACGGAATAACTTCCAAACATGACTGTCTGTGAGGCGCTCTGTCCATGTCCCTTCCCAGACTCCACTGCTCATTCGGCTCCTGGTAAGGACTGACCAGCCAAGGACAGGATGCAGTTGCCTGCTGAGAATTGCTGGCAACACCATCAACTGTGCTCCACAAGATGTCACTCAAAGTCTCGCCTCTACACTACTGCTCTGTGGCACATTTCCTGTCGAGATCACAGCAGGTCCAAAATAAAGTGACAACTAGATTTAATAAATTAATATACATTTGTTAAGGATGTACAATGCACATTCTGTTTAATCAAGGTTTTGGGGATCACGGAACTCCTATTTACACATGTACAGATGTCAGACAGCAGTGGTGTCGGCAGATGCAGGGAGGAGCAGCGGTGCCGGACGTGCTGCTCTCGGAACGCTGAGGACACAAGTCAAGTATAGTAACTGAGAAACAACGCTGAGATCACAGGGAGATTCTCCAAAGTGACAAGTCCACAAAAAAGGACACGGAAAGGCAAGGAGAAGGTCAAGGAGCTGAGATAAGCACTTTATTCTTGGGACGACTGTGGAGGTGGTGTGGACGGGCCTTGCTTGCCAGATTTGCGCTCATAGTTCACCAGGCGCTGCCCCACAAGGTACCTAGAGTGCAAAGACAGGGTGGTTACTTTGCTGTGTGACTCACACACACACCATTCTTCCAGGGAGCAGCCAGTGACACCTTGTTAAATGTACTCAGATCCACTTACTAGCACTCTTTCAAAAGGCAGGCCAGAGAGGAGCAAGGTAGAGCAAGGTCTTATGTCGGGTGTGGTTTGTGGAAAGTGCCAGAGGGTGGAGACTGCACAGATGTGCAGTGCTGGAGCCTTTACTGCAGTGGGAGCTGAGGTCCAGAGTGGGTGCAGCAAACAGATGAAGAGCATTTTCTTGTTTCCATTGGTTAGGGCTCACACTACATAAGCCACCTTAGTGTTCAGAGTTTAGGAAGCAGACTACAGACATGACGGGCAAAGG